TTTGTTTTGTTTTGTTTTTGAGACAGGGTCTCACTCTGTCATCTAGCAGGCTGGAGTGCAGTGGTGCAATCTCGGCTCACTGCCACCTCTGCCTTCCAGACTCAAGCGATTCTCCTGCCACAGCCTCCCGAGTAGCTAGGATTACAGGCATTCACCACTACTACCCACCTAATTTTTGTATTTTTAGTAGAAATGGGATTTCACCATGTTGGCCAGGCTGGTCTTGAACTCCTGATCTCAAATGATCTACCTGCCTTGGCCTCCCAAAGTGCTGGGATTACAGGCATAAGCCACTGCGCCTGGCCTAAAGTTGTTTTTTTTGTTTTGTTTTTTGTTTTCTTGTTTTTTTGAGACAGAGTCTCAATCTGTCGCCCAGGCTGGAGTGCAGTGGCGTGATCTCCACTCACTGCAAGCTCCACCTCCCGGGTTCACACCATTCTCCTGCCTCGGCCTCCGGAGTAGCTGATACCACAGGCACCCGCCGCCACACCCAGCTAATTTTTTTTGTATTTTAGTAGAGACGGGGTTTCACCGTGTTAGCCAGGATGGTCTCGATCTCCTGACCTTGTGATCCGCCCGTCTCGGCCTCCCAAAGTGCTGGGATTACAGGCTTGAGCCACCGCGCCCGGCCCAGCTTTCTTTTAGTAATTGCATATTATTTTTCTATCTTTATATTTTCAAATTTTTAATTAATTAATTAATTAATTTATTTATGTTTTAGAGACAGGGTCTTGCTGTGTCACTCAGGCTGGTTAGAGTGGCAAGATAATAGCTCACTGCAACCTTGAACTCCTGGGCTCAAGTGATCCTCCCACCTCAGCCTCTTGAGTAGTTAGGACTGCAGGCACGTGCCACCACACCAGGCTAGTTTATTTTTTGTAGAGATGGGGCCTTGATGTATTGCCCAGGTTAGTCTCCAACTCCTGAACTCAAATGATCCTCCTGTCTTGGCCTCCAAAAAGTGCTGAGATTATAGGTGTGAGCCAATGGACCTGGCCATATATATATATATTTTTGAGCTGGCAGTATGTTATTCTGTTTTATGTGTATCCTTTTATATCCTTTTATGTGTATCCTTTATAGCATGCAATGTTAACGTGTGATTTTATAAATTATATATACATTTACATGAATATAAATTTTATAAATAGTATATTAGTTAGCATAGAATAAATTTTGCTGTGATAATTGTAACAGGCAGAATAATAGACTCCCAAAGATGGCTACATTCCATTTCCCAGACCTGAGAATATGTTATCTCACATGGCAAAAAAGACTTTGCAGATGTGATTAAGTTAAGGATCTTTTTTGAGACCAAGGCTTGCTCTGTCGCCCAGGCTGGAGTGCAATGGCATGATCTCAGCTCACTGCAACCTCCACACCCTAGGCTCAAGCAATTCTCCTGTCTCAGCCTCCCGAGTAGCTAGGATTACAGGCATGTGCCACCTTGTCCTGCTAATTTTTGTATTTTTAGTAGAGGAGGGTTTTTGCCATGTTGACCAGGCTGGTCTTGAACTCCTGACCTCAGGTGATCTGCCCGCCTCAGCCTCCCACAGTGCTGGCATTACAGGGGTGAGCCACCTCTCCCAGCCAAGTTAAGGATATTGAGATGGGGAGATTATCTGGGCAGATTGAAGAGCGCAATGAATCATGT